TTTAATTTTCCTTTACTTGCTTTCCCCCCCAGCACCTTTCAGATTGAAATTATTTTTCTAATGGTAATTTGCAACCAAATTATTCAGTCTGTCTTTTCATGCAGGACAGGACTGCACTGGTGAAGCCAGCAGTGCTGTTTAATGCTGCTGAGAGCAGGGAAATAGTTGACAAGAATAATGCTACAGAATGAGAAAGAGTAAATACAAAGACACATGACACTGGTGTACCATGTTAAAGTGTTCTAATAAGTTTCAGGGGAAAGGATGGATTATGGCTGGCTATAGGAGACTGTATGGGAGATACATACAAAACTCCCTAGACTCTTGCTTCTGCTGTCTTAGGGCTGGACCTTTCTGCAGTGGCACGGTTATGGTCAGTCTCAGCTGTATATTTGATATGTAGGATGTGTGGTGAGTTATGATGCCCAAGAAATTTACGCTCTTTGAAGCCCACCTGAAATTATTGTGAGTGCTTGGTATAAATGACTTTGGGAGGTTTGGGAACTTCATCTAGCAAAGATTTTTCAAGATTCTTGTACTTCTTCATCCAATTCTTTTTATTGCTGTCCCTTTTAAAATTGTTCAGATACAGATTTATTGCAACCCAGATACATTTGAGTTGGGAATTAGTTCAGAGAATCATCTGTTTACTCCCATTTCTAGCATCTTGTGGTCACTTTGTGTGTGTGTGTGTGTGTGTGTGTGTGCGCGCGCGCCTTAAGTCTAAAATGCATATGTTTGCAACTGTTTTCATTTTTTAAGATGGTCTTGAAAGAGTAGTTGTCTCCACAAATTCAAAGCTTTTGCTTTATTTCATCTCTTGTAACTGCTTTATTTTGCCCGCTCTTCTCAAGATGTGTGTGTACTGTGAGTGCTTTAAAGCAAGGTCTTCATGTTCTTCCTCTTCAGAGCTTCTAATACAGACTTTGTCACAGCTGGTTTCTAAAATACACTGTACTCCTGTATACAGTGGTAAGCTGTACTAATTCATTTTATTGGGTAGGTCGTTCACAACCAGGAGTTTGTCTCTTGTGGAAGGTCTTCACTGAAGGTCTTTGGCTGGCACTCAGAAAGATGGTCACCCAGAGGAGAGGAGAAAAAATGTTCGTGTTTCCTAACCTGAAGTTTGTAAGCTGTGCTTTTCTGTGCCAGCAGTTCTTGGCCAGATCTTTGTTTCATCACCCTTCTTTCAAATGAGTTATTCTCTTACTTCATTTCTGTGTTCTTCAGACCTGCCTGGTTCATATTTAATAAAGTAAATATTCTCATAATATTGTAATATTAATTATCGTAGTATCAATTATCCTAATAGCTGTCTTTTTATAAGAGAACAGACCTATCTCCACATGCTTATGTATAAATGCACTGTATCTATATGTACTATGATTAACATCTCAGCTATAATTTGGAGCATCCCGATGGAACAGTTTGAGTTCATATTTTCAAGTTGTAAAGCTGATATATATCAGAAGCTTCTGTAACAGCCAAGAGGGTGGTTGGGAACAGAGTTCATTGCAGGTTCCCGTTGGAGCTGTTAGGCTTTCTTTATTCATTAACTAGGCTGGAGCTGAGTTAACACTGGAGTGCACAACACCAGATGGGTGGCGCTGGAGATGACCTCTCTTCATAAAACAAACAGAGCTTTGGTTGCTTTTCTTACAGTGGCCTCTGCTCTCTATTTGTCACATGTTGTTGGTTATCACTGGTGGCCTTTATTAGGTGGTGACCCTTTGCAGTCCATATTACTTAAGAGAGTCCTTAAAGGATTTTATTGTTTGAGCCTTGCTGGTTGAACTAATGGTGGAGATGTCAGTTGCCACACAGTGCTGCATTGCAAGTCCCTTAACTACTTGATTTCTGCCTAGCAGAACATTTGAAAATGAGTTGTGTTGAAATAGACTTTTGTCAAGCAACAGCAACAGAAGTCTGCCCTGGAATGAATTGTTGGAATATTTCCCTTCATATTTTATTTAGCTCAATTTAAGAATATATACATATGGAACTGATTTACTATTCTAAATGATGAATAGAAGCTGTTTTGAAGACTTTTGTTCTTATTATAAATTATAAAACCAGTGACCAAAATTTTTGTCAGCTGTATTACTGAGCTGTAGAAATCATTCTATAAACCAGTTAGTTGTGAATAAACACATTTAGGCATAAGAAAAATAAATTGTCAGTAAACATACTCCTATACCAAAGAGAAATCCTTAGTAAAACTTGTAACTCAGCTTTTTATTTAATGCATTAACTTTAACATTGTTTTCTGCATTTATTTAATTCTATCCAAGATCAGTTTGACATGTCTCTCAAATATGTTTTGGCTTCTAGTAAATACAAGATTAAAGAATATAAGAACAAATAAATGTATCTCTAGGGTTCATAAACATACAACAGATGAGGAAAAAATGTGCTGTCAAACTTAGCATAGAGTTATCCTTCGATTCACATCAACTTCCAGTTAGGGAGAATTAGGCTTTCTTCTGGAAAAAACAAAGCCAGAATTAGAATATAATCATTTCAATCAAGGTTTCTTCCTTTCAGATTTAAACTAGAATTGATGAGTTGGTTTGTTTTGGTATAAGTCAGTCTGCTTTAACTAAAAGTGTGAGCTTATTTTCCTGACCCTTGAAAGCCAGATTGGTAAATTCCTTGTTGCTCAAGAGAGTTGCATTGAGAAATCTCTTTGCAGATGTGCTCCTGTTGTAGCTGCAGGCCTTGAGGGGGAGTGTGCACATCAGATACGATTTTTAACTAGAGCAGAATGGCTGAAACCCAGTTAGTTCGATAGAGATCGGTATTGGTTTTTCCTCCTTCCTTGTCTCCCTCCCTCCACAAATGTGGTTGGCTTCTGGTTGCAGTTGGGTTGTTCTTCCTTTTGCTGTTTACAGCTGAAAGGGGGGGGCTCTGGAAATGTATTTTAGTCTTAGGTAGTGATCACGTAACACAGTAATAGACTCTTGGCTGCTTGTGCAGATTCAGGTGGTGCTTCTTCTCAATGTGCATGTGTGTATACGCATTGATTATGTGCATGTATCAATAATGATGTATTCTGAAGTCCTCATACTAATAATGTTATGAGGTAGTCTTTAGAGGAAAAAAAAAAAAAGAATGAGAAGGTTAATGATTGTCAGGGATAAAACTGGTATTTTCTCCAGTCATGCTAAAAGCTTGATAGAAATGAAAGGCTTGTGGCACCAGTTTTTGGTTGAATGCTCTGGTCTTCTTTAATATGAGGCTAGAATTGACCTGCAGGGTCCCTCTTGGCTCTCAGCATTAATCCATTTGTGGAAATGATCATGAATCAGTAGCTGTTTGAGCCTAACGGGGGATTTACGATAGGAAAACAAATTACATGTCAACAATTATAAAAGTGACTTTAAATGTTGACCCTATGCTTGAAGGCATTGCATAAATGTAAGCATACAGTGTCTGTGACTGACATGAAGGAATGTAAAGCACTGGGGTGCCTTTATGATAGTGGAATTGGAGATAGCCATAGGGCGTACTGGCAATATGTCATTTTATTCTTCTAAAATATGTTAACTAGGTTATGGTTAAAAGTATTTAAAATGTGGCATTCTGAGCTATTTGTAACTGTTTAAGTTCTGTGGGAGTCACTTACAGAAAACATGTGGTTATATGCTGCAAAAGGTGGGGGGTTTATTTTTTTATGCATCAATCTTTTGTGCTGTGTTTCAAAGCAAATGGGAACAGATGGAGGCTTGCTTTTGATACAACATAGCATTTAAAACTCTAGTATTGTGAAGAGGGTTTGTGTTACTGAAAGATTTTAATATAGAGGGTTTTTTTCTTTTCACTATGAAGCTGTATTAGGTAATATTTTTGTATCATGCTGTTAGAGGTTGAGGTATTAGTACAGTAAATAATCCTCTATGTCTAACATACCTAAATATATAGTGCTACCTTGCATACTGTGCTCCTTACTTCAGGAGAAACCAAGAATCGATTGTGGGCTGTCTGCCAGTGGGACAACCCTTTTCTCTCCATATGCAAAGAGCATCTTTTGCTGCCCCAAAAATGGGATTATACCATTGGCAGGAGTCAGTTCCACCTTTGCCATTATACCATTGCCAGGAGTCAGTGACAGCTCCTGAACTATTGCTTTTGCTTGTAACAATTTATCCTGTGTGAAGAATGTGTCCTTTCTTAACATCTGTCAGTGATGAACCTGTGACTTTTATAATGTCTGTATTCAATGTTTACTGTCAAGACAAGCAAATGTTGTCTTTTTGTGTGTGTAAGGTTGCAATATCTTTGTATCCATGATACATATTTATACCTATATGCACACACAAGCATCTAAACTTGCAAGCTGAGAATGGAAAGTAAATTCTTTTCCGACTGTTATTGGCCTTGCATGGCTGATGTGCTTGTGCTGGCATCCTTGAAAAAATATACTTGGAAGTTCAACCAACTAAGCATATACAACAGACCACCAAAAATACATATATTAATACGTATTTTCATACAAGATAATGCCAATTCCACATCAAGTGTTTTTTCTTCTTGGAGATGCTGTACTAAATGCTTAGAATCGCTAGAAATAATTTTATAGGGGAAAAAATAAATAAAATTTAATGTAAATAAGGGTATTTAATATGAAACAATGAAGTTTTAAGTTAACAGGCTGTTAATATTTTTATGGCACATAAAACCAAATAAATAGACTTCAGAGTTCAAGCCAAGTTTTCCAATCTGTGTTGAAATTAAACGCAAGACATTTTGTCTAGCCAGGAACACCCAGTGAGTCTTGGGTAGCTTCAGAAAAAACCCACAGACCTTTAGCTTTCAGAGTACTTTGGATGCCCAAATGTTAAGAAAAGGCACTTGGGTTAATCAATATGTATTTTACCTTTTCCCTGAAACTGTTGTTTAACTGCTGGTTTGAGATAACCGTAAGGCAGAAGAGCTCAGTTGGCTGTCTCATGAACTGTTCTTAATGAGCATTATGTTATTTTCCCCTCTCGTTTTTCTAGGCTATTCAATTAACCCCTAGACGATGGCTGAACCTGCAGGAGTACCAAAGCAAAAAAATAATGGCAGACCATGGGGTTACAGTTCAGAGATTCTTTGTAGCTGATTCTGCAAATGATGCCCTGGAGGCTGCTCAGAGACTAAGTAAGTTGACCGATAATGGGAGAAATTTGCTTCACCAGATAGCAATCTGGAAAACCAAATTGCTTTCTAATAAGTTGTACACCATCTACAAATTGATGTGTATTGAAAAGCTTTGATAATGTTGTCCAGACAATAAGTATATGCTTCATTTCATATGTGAACCGTAGTTTACAACAGCAATATTTAAAATGTTTTGAAGCAGCATGAAACATGAATTCTTCACTTATCATTATTTCTATACTACTGAATAATTCAGAATACATCATGAGTGGTTGCTGAGGGAAATTAGTTGTTGTGGTGTATTTGATACAATTTTAGGAACTGAAGTAGATGAACGTGGTTTTCAAACAAAAATTTGCTCTTAAAAAGCAGAGGGAGAAAAAGGTTGTGGACTCTCGATTTTAAGATATTCAGAACCCAATTAGACTCAGCTTCCTGTAGCTCACCCTGTTTTGACCTGGTGGGTTGTACCAGATGATCTCCAGAGGTCCTTATAACCTCAACTGTTGTATGCTTCTATGAAGAAATGAGGATTAATTCTCATATATGTTTATATGTACTGAGAGAATTTTATGTGTGCATATTTGTCTGTATGCTTGTCCATATGGAGAAGAAAAAAAAAAGGTAAGTTGAGTCATGTGCCATCACAGAAGGGCTTGACAGTGGCCTGGAGAGAAGGCCGTGCTTCTGGAACTTGATTTTGGTTCTCTGAAAACATCCTTGCTTTTGTGTAGTGAACATAAAATGAAAGTATGGGTCAGAAATGAATTTATGTAATACCTTTTCTGTCAGAAGGAAATGCATGGAAGTGTATTTGTCATCCAATTCTAACTCTGAGGGAAGTTTTCTCCAATAGTAGAAACAGTAGTTTGCATAGTTTTCCTCTTTTCATTTAGCTTTTGTTAATATATTGCACATCAAAATGCCAGAGGCCAGACATTATTGTAGTCTAATTGTGTAGGAACAGGAAGCTTTTCTGTTTTCTGTTTTATGCTTTACGTAATGCACAAGCCACTTAGTTAAATGCATTTCTGTTTTGCACACTGGAAGGTAAATTAATGCAACCTATATCAGAGTCTCATCAGACCTTAAGTAGCTGAATAGCATTAGCATAATGGCTTGCTAAATATCTATAACTTAAGGTGATACATTTTTCCGCAATCAAAGCCTTCTTATGACAACAAATATATTTGAAACAAAAACATTCAATGTACTGTTATGGTCATTTAGCAGTGCAAAATGAAAAATGCTGACACAAAGCAAAGCTCATAAAATGGGAGGGTTTCCTCATGTTGGGATGTCTGAGAAAAGCAAGAAATGCCATCTGAAGCTGGGGCAGGTTTTTTGCAGATCTTACAAAACTTAAACTCTCCTCTTCATGACTGAACCCATAAAGGGTTTGGTCTGTCCAGTAACTATTACTGGTCTCAATCTCTGTACCTATATGGAGAAATTAATTAAACCACTAAAGGCAGTGAACCTCTTCTGTTTTATGATGCGAGATTTAAATAACCTTTGTAGCTTGTTTGCTTTGCAAATTACAGGCATACTGATTTATGAAACAAAAAAGGTTGAAATTTAGATAATCAAAAGGAAAATCTAAAAAAATTTGCTAATGAAACTCTATAAGGCAAATGTGTTTATTTTAACTGAGTTGGCTTGTTAACACTTCAAAACTTGTAAGTCAGTGGTAGCTTCCTTCATTTTATGTAACTGCATTCAACCATACTGCATGACTGGGTGTTAAAAGAATGGTGGTTTATAGCGTGGAATCTATTTCTTCTTGAAATAGTTGGCACTCCTTTGCTCCACTAAATAATTAACAACATCCTTGTAATCCTTCTGATAGCGTGCTGTTATTCTACTTCTAACATGCACTTTGAAAACTAAGCATCAGGAAGCATCACAGTTTTGCTATTGTGGTCATTGTTGTTCCAATATTTCATCACATTTATCATCTTTATGATCCTTCAGAGTAGTCATATCTCTGTCACTCAGGTTTATCTGCACAATTTGGTATGGGCTTCTGTCTTCTGAATATGCAGTCACATGAAGTAAAATGTTATGGGCAAAACAAAAAACTTCAGCCTAAAGGAGGCACAAAATACTTTTCAGATGAAAAACCTAATGGAGGTGGCTGTGGGATTTCTTGACAGACAGGCGTTCTGCAGTGAAAGATGGGGAAAGGAGAGGCCAATCACCCCTGCCAAGTACTGCTCAAAAATCTGGTGGTTTAGATGCTGTATGCCACATTGCAGCTGTCCTTAACTTTCCTTCCTGCAAAGACGAAAGGATGCTTGCCAACATATTTTTAAGATAAAAATAAAGTTATCAAAACTTGAAAGTCAGGGGTTCAGTATTTTTCTTGTGAGAGGAGGTTCTTTCTATAGACCTGTTGTCATGAATACAGCTGAAACAATAATTTTCCTGGAGAATCTCAGAGCATTACATCACTCACATGGGTCTGTGTGTGTGATTAAGGGCTACAGATAAAGGGATAGAAATTCCTGACATGGAAGTCTGGTATTCACAAATTAATTTCACCAAATACTATGTGCTTGACAGAGGTGTCTGTGCTGCTGCCATGCCTGCAGTCACCAATTTTTCTGTTGTTGGATTTCTTCTTGATGCAATGGAAAGAGATGGGATTAGATAATTCTTGCTGCTGTCTTCACTTGTCAGGAAGGTGTTAATGTTCCTGAAGGGGTTTGCCTTTATCCAGTATCAGCACTTTAGTTATAGTTTGCTCATTTCCTCTCCTGTGCTCTCTATTTTTATTAATATATACACTGAATACATGGAATGTTAATTTTCTCAGAGTTTCAAAACTTGCCAACAGCACAAAGGCAGTCTACAAGGAATTTTTAACAGAATTAAAGGATTGATTTTTTTTTCCCCCCCCTTCAAAGATAAGACTGGCAGATGTGAAGAAAATTAAAATGACATCACTAAAATTGACTTCAAAGGAAGTTGTACACAATAAGAAATACAGAATTAGGCCCCAAGGAATTCATTGCCCTCTACATGCCAAGCAGTTTTCAGGTGTAACTCTTGCAGAGCAGGGGATATTTACAGAATACCAAGAAATACAGTCACAGATTTTTTTGTTTCATGTTAAGATTCCTAGTGTTTTCAAGAGAGGAAAGAAAAAGACATTCTACTGTTTTGCTACAACACTGTGCCTTTGCTTGGTCTGCCGTCTGAAGGAACACAACCTGTAGACAAGTTCTTACAGTTCTAGTGCAGGTATTTAACAGAACAGAGGGAAATATTTGAGAGCTTAGATTTTCTCTGAGTTGTAAGATCATCTGGCTGTTGCAGTAACTCACAAGTCTTCTGATCTGGTTCTCACGTAATGCAGTGGTACATTAAAGGCGTGTTTAGCCTTCATAGAATCATAGAATACCAGGTTGGTAGGGACCTTAATGATCATTTGGTCCAACCTTTCTAGGCGAAGCATGGCTTAGACTAGATGTCCCAGCACACTGCCCAACCAGATCTTGAAAGTGTCTGATGTTGGGGAGCCCACAGCTTCCCCAGGCAGCTTATTCCAATGGCTCATTGTTCTCATTGTGAAAAAAATTCTGTTGTGTACAGTTGGAATCTCCCCAGGAGTAACTTCTGCCCGTCACCCCTCATCTTTTCCATGTGGCTTCTAGTAAAAAGGGAGTCTTTTCATGCTATTTCTTTTCCTCATACTGTACTACTGAAACAAGGAAAAATTCCCAATGTATGCATACATGTACACACGCTATTAGGGTGTGTATTGGGCAGATGCATTATGCAGTATTTCAGGGTCCATCATTTTCTCTAGCCTTCTTCACCAAAGGCTCTTAAGTCTGCTTCAGCCCATGCACTGTTCTTTAAGTTCTGCCTGATGGAGAAATTATTAGGGGAACCATCATTTTAAACTAGTAGGTGGACAAAGCTGAAAGGGATTGTAATTATGCTGGAGGGTGTTACTATGTGCTGTCAATTGGCTTTTTGAATCGGCAGAGAACTTACAGAGGTGGTTGAAAATGCTGACAATCCTAAATCAATGCCGGAAACTTGGCGTGCGTTTCTTTTTGTGATTTTTAACAAAAGCAATAGAGTGCTGCCTGTTGCCACTTAGAGTGTTTCATTACGTTTAGGAATCAGTCAGGTGCAGTGTTCACACTCTATCACAGAGAAATGCAATTGAATTGAGTGCAAGGCTTTTATTCACTCTTGTTTAAAAAAAAAAAAAAGGTCTGACAAAATATAGTTTCTGCATGTCCTATTTCCATTGCCTTATGCATGAGGGAGCTCATAAAATTCGGCTTTGGACTGAAGGCATGCTTCTTATATCAGCCTGGAGAGGTAAACATGTATTTTATAAAGAGCAGAAGAGGTTTATTAAAGCCTCTTTCCATGAGGTCATTTACCTGTCACCTGCTCACTACTTTTCAGACTATTGAAAGAGTTCTCAGCCATGTGATTGCCAGTCTCCTTCCTATCTCAGCCTGCTGGGTTTTTACCTTAGCTGTGTTTAATTTAGATGGAAGGCTGCATTTTTAGATACAGTTTTAGATCCCTTACCTGAAAGTTCATCTCTCCAACACAAGTTGGGAAAACCACTTGAAAGCAATTTGTATTTAGAAAGGATCAGAAATTGATCTTTAGCTTGGTAATGTCATTTTTGTATAGATTATGAAGAAATTGTTGGTGGTAATGTCTGCATTTAATGTAAGCTTTTATGTTAGGGAAAATGAAAAAGATCCTTGAACCCAACATTTCTGGGGATATTAGAGATGTGAATTTAGGTTCTTTTTTGTTACACTAGGAAGAGCTTTTCTATTAGTACCCTGTACAGCCTAGCTCTCTTATAAGGTAGTATTTAAGTAACTCAATTTCCTCCCCAATTTTTGAGATTGTTGGCTACTTAGCTGATCTTTTTTACTGTCATGTGCTTTGCTTACATGATTGAATTCCCTTTCTTCCATCAGCATAGGTAACAGAGGAATTGCTCCCTGCATTTC